ACCCTGCCCTAACATTGCACTCATCCATGGCCGTTTTACTTATTGCACCGAGATAAGAATCACTTCGAGAAAATCTCTTGTATGGAACTACGCCCGGAATGTAATGGTGTAGAATTAGATGAGCTAGCAGATGGTATAGACAACCCACTGCTTTCACTTAACTGGAAAAAAAAATACTTAAATTGTTAGATTTCTCCCTAAAAAATAGATTTAAAAAACGTATTAAAAAATTACACACATATATTAGAATATAAACAAGCAGCCTCTCGGCTGAGATAGCTCTGCTGTTAGCAATGCACAATTCAATTAAAGAACAGAAGATATATTAGAAAATGAACAATATGTATAGTATCAAAGCAATGGGACTTGCTGTTTTCAACAAGAATTCAAAAATATCATTTTTCACCATAAATGATTGTGGTTTTTAACAAGAAGAAAATATCACTTTTTACCAAAAATGACAAAAATATTCACCAAAATTAGAAAACTAAAGATATCATCATGAAATGAACAAATTTGAGAGTGGTCCACATGCAGTACCTATATATGTAATATCAAAGCAATTGGACTTGCGGTTTTTAACAAGAAGTCGAAAATATCACTTTTTACCAAAAATGACAAAAATATTCACCAAAATTAGAAAAATAAAGATATCAACATGAAATGAACAAATTTGAGAGTGGTCCACATGTAGTACCTATATATGAAATATCAAAGCAATTGGACTTGTGGTTTTTTAACGAGAAGTCGAAAATATCACTTTTTACCAAAAATGACAAAAATATTCATCAAAATTTAATAGATAATTGAAGATATCATCATGAAATGAATAAGTCTGAGAGTGGACCACATGTAGTACCTATATATGTAATATCAAAGCAATTGGACTTGTGGTTTTTAACGAGAAGTCGAAAATATCATTTTTTACCAAAAATGACAAAAATATTCACCAAAATTAGAAAAATAAAGATATCATCATGAAATGAACAAATTTGAGAGTGGTCCACATGTAGTACCTATATATGAAATATCAAAGCAATTGGACTTGTGGTTTTTTAACGAGAAGTCGAAAATATCACTTTTTACCAAAAATGACAAAAATATTCATCAAAATTTAATAGATAATTGAAAGATATCATCATGAAATGAATAAGTCTGAGAGTGGACCACATGTAGTACCTATATATGTAATATCAAAGCAATTGGACTTGTGGTTTTTAACGAGAAGTCGAAAATATCATTTTTTACCAAAAATGACAAAAATATTCACCAAAATTAGAGAATTGAAGATATGATCATGAAATGAACAAATCTGAGAGAGATCTACCCAAGGTACATATACACCAAGTATCAAAGCATTCAGGCTTGTAGTTTTCAAGAAGAAGTCGAATAAGTAAAACATTGACACGGACGACAGACGCCGGATGCCGGACGACAGACGCCGGACAATCACTCATATGATAAGCTTCGCTCGACAAAGTCGACAGCGGAGCTAAAAACAGGAGTTGAACTTGTGATCAAGAAAAGCTGTAAGAAACGACACATACTTGCTCATGTGTAAGCTTAGATAAATCTCTGTTGTGCTCATTGTCATTGCCGATAACATCCGGTACCTGCCCACTATCACATGTCAAGAAA